GACTCCAATCACTCTGATGTTATTTTTCTTTGCATCTTCTAGCAGCTGCTAGATTGATTTCTCATGGTCCCTTACTATTTTTAAGAAATTTTTCTTTTCCTGGTCACTAATTGCAATCCTATCTTCTATATCTGAAATTCTATCCTCACATTGCCTCATTCTGCTGTGTAAACTTTCAATGGAGTTTTTAACCTCCTGGAAATCTGTTTGCATCTGTTTTATGGATTCTATTTGTTTTGTATGTTGGGATTCCATCATGCTCCTCAACTCCTCTATTTTTTTAATCTGTGTCCACTCTAGATTTATTAATCATGTCTTGTACTGTGGCCACAATCTCTGCTAGTATCTGAGAAATTGTTTCTGATTTCATTTTTTCCAGGTCCCCTTTCATTGCTAGTTCAGGAAGTCCAGGTGGTTGAGTATCAGATTGTTCTATTTTGTTGCCTTTTGGCATTTCCTTAGGGGATCTGGAAGTCTGGTTTGGGGACTTATTTAAGTGTCCTGTCATTTCAACAGATGCAGCCTGCTGTGTTTTTTTCAGGCGACTTTTTGCTCACCCTGTGATCTTGAATTCTCAGCAAGCCACTGAGCAGCCTTTACTCTGCTGATCACCAGTATACTAATTCCTGGGCTCAGAGTGGTGACCTTCTAGATCCCTGCACTGGCCTGTTGTTTGGGCGGCCTTCTGACTGGGGCCTGAGCAAACTTGGGATGGTACCTAGGTGTGCCTCTCACTTGGGCCCCTATGTAGCTATTGTCTGGGAGGGCCTTTGGTTGGGCGCTGTGCACCCCAGTTTCTGTCATCTGCACAGGCTTTGGCTAGGGTCTCCTCACACTTATCAATGGTATCAGGTGAGCCTCTGGGTATTGCTTGTGTGCCTATACAGTTCTTCTCCAGGTGGGTCCCTGGCTGTGGCTGATGCTATGGCCAGCCTCTGGCTGAAGCCTGTGTGCCCATGCAGCCCCTTTCTGGGTGGACCTTGGGCATGGGCTGGTGTTCCCAAACCTCTGGAGTTGGTCAGAGCCCTGGCTGGTACTCCCTGCCCCCCCCAGTCACACTGGTCAGGGCCACACAGCTGTTCCCTGGGTTCTGCCTGCATTTAGGGATGGAATGGCTGGCCTCCAGCAGGAGCCCACATGCCTGTGCAGCTCATCTCTGGGCATCCTCCTGGCCTGGTGCTGGATGTCTGAGCCTCTAGTGTCAGGGTCGACCTCTGGCTGGGTCCTCCTACAACCTTGTGGGTCTGGGCCACACAGATGCTCCCCGGGATCTTCAAGCACTCACCGATGGAATGGCAGGCCTCTGGCGGGAGCCCAGGTGCCAGTGCAGCTCCTCTGTGGGCAGGCTCCTTACAAGTGAATTATTTTAAGGGATTCTGTTCTTTCATTAGCAATATGGGAGCTGAGGGTCAAGTACTCAAAGTGTCTCAAGCTTTTTATGCCGGTGCCTGAAAGCACAATCTACTTGGATGTGTTTGGAAAATGTTAATATCACTTTCTCTGCAAAAGCAAAGCAAAGGGAGTAGAAAAACTGTAGGAAGCTCAGTTATACTATAAGGACCAGAGAACAAAATTGAAATGCAGAAATTTCTTCATTCCCTCCCTAGAGATTAACTTCATTTCTCAGGTCAATTAGAAAGAATAACTTGAAATTTTAGACTAACCTTTAGAAAAGAGGCCATGCATCTTAGGTTCCAGAGAAAAACAAAGCCAATTGCATTTTTTGGACAAATCACAAACTATTTCTTTCGTCTCTTTATTGCCATTTGACAAAAGAAAAGCTATTAACTACATTTGGGGTACCATAAATGCAGTTGTCACCATAGTAAGCAAAAGACTCACTATCCACTGGTATCTGAGGAATTTACAAGGGATAGTTTGCACTAAGAAAGTAATTTTAATGTTGGCATTATTTAAATTGAAGAAAAGCATTTATTTGAAGCATGAAAGAGGGCAATGTGGATAGCAACCCTAAAGGGCACCAGACACCCTAGCTGCTGAGTTTTGATGATAAATCAGATCATTTTTGCATGATGATGCCCAAAATGTTGCATAAAGCATCTTCCTATACATTCACAATCTATTGACTCTTTAGTAGCATTTTTATTGCCTCCATCTGCTAGCAATCCAAAATGATAAGTGGATATCACATGTCTGTGAACGTTGCTTTAAACTATGCCTTCCTAACTAGAGTATAAGGTTAATGAAGGTGGGAAATTTTGTTCAGTGATGTTTAATCAGCATTGAAAGTGCTAGGCACATAGTTGGTTCTCAATAAATACTTTTGCAATTGAATGAATGAAAAAAACCTTGACATCCAAATGGAAGATCATAAATACTTCATTCATTTATTGTACAATGGTTGATATCTCTTCCAGAAATAAAATTGAATATAGCTTGAAAACATAGGTAAGGGACATTACCATTACATGTTGTATAAAGCATGTTTCCTTATCCATCTTCTTTGGATCTCTAGGTATTCTTTTCAGTATAGGATGCAAATAACTCCCCTTAATCTTGAGAATTTACATGGGCAATGAATTGTTGAAAGGAGAAGGGTTGAATCAATTCTATAGAGAAACTATATCTACTTAACTACCATTTAGTTCAAGTCCAAATATTTTCATCTAGTTGTAATGTTTCTGGTGTTTACTGTGTCCTTTCTTGGCAGGGTATTGATGACTTTCTTAGCAAGATGCTATGGTTTATACGTAGATATTTCCTAAAAGCCTCATGTGCTCAAAGGTGGGGTCTTTGGAAGGTGACTGGATTACAAGGGCATTATGGCTGACTGCTATTAGGAGGTGTGGTCAGGTCAGAAGAGGCAGGTCAATGGGGGCGTGGCCTGGAAGGTTTTATCTCCATCCCAAGCTCCTCCCTTGATCTCCCTGTGCTTTCTGCCTGCCATGAGGTGAGCAGATATTCCCCCAACATGTCCCTTTGCCATGCTGTCCTGCCTTGCAACCATTTGACTATGAACTGAAGCATGAGCCAAATAAACCTCCCCTTTTTTAAGTTGTGGTTGTCAGGTATTTTGTCCCAGTGATGAGAAAAATGACAAAGACACGAGAGTGTCCTAATATTTGGAGCATAGTTCAATCTAGATCTTCTGTCATTGCTTTGACCCATGTCTTTGGTGTATACATTGGGCTCAGACTCTCATCTTGGTCCAAAGTTATCTGCTCAGTTTCAGTATTCAGGTACAACTGCCAATTACCCTAAAGTAGAAAATTATTTTCTTGTTCTAAAATTGCTTCAATTTTATAAGCTTTCTTCCTTGGCAATACATGCATAGTTCAGTATTCATGTTTATACTCCCCTAGAGCAATGCTTATGTTTGATGAGGATTTACATTTGCTCTCCCTGATCAAAGAATGGGATTCTGAAGTAGCATAGCCACCAGGATCTCTTGATTATCACCACTTTTGATTTTTGAGACTTTGAGTACTGCTAGCCCATCATGGTGATGTTAGCATTGCCCGATCTTTGGCTAGCATCTGTGTGTGTGTATGGTGTGAGATATCACACATGCAAATTGTAGACTCTAGGGAATACAGCTCAGTCCAAATCCTGTGCCCCCTTACTTGAATTTTGGAAGCAAGTTACCTAACCTCTCTGAGTTTGTTTTCCTCGCTGGTAAGATGGATATAACAATAGTACCTAACTGTTGGAGTAGTGAGGGGAGGAAATGAAAGAATCTATATTAAGCACTTACCATGGTGACTGGCCCATGGTGAGCTCTCAATATCCATTAGTATTTTTATAGAAAATCCTTCCTTTATGTGACTGTGGATTTATTTTAAAGGACTTAAAGCTGTCATAGTAGCTAAGAACCTGCTTAGTTCGCACTTAAGATTTTTATAGATGAAACTCTTAGCTGTGGTCAAAGAGCGTGTAACAGTGCTGCTCCTTGTCCTAGCGTATGAATAGAGGCCCTGTACTCTGCTGTGATAGAGTGACCTCACTGTCTGCCTACTCTGCTTGCCTGGGATATGTGAGCTATGCCAAGCCTCCCTTACCTCTGAATACATCCTTACACTGCTGCCCTGTGATTCTCTCCCACAACATAATTGAGACTCCTATTACAGTACTCATGGACATTTTCCTCTTTTTTCTCTTTCAATAAGAATTCTTAGTTGTGCAGACTCAGGATCCAGAGAGGCCAAGATGCCTAAATGCAACACACGCGCATGTACACACACACACACACACACTCATTCACAATCAGAGAATCCATAGTCTTTTCCAAAGCATTAAGAACCTAAGTACTCATAAATTTAAGATCAACCAAAAGTTTTCTGAAGGTATAAATAGTACCCTCATTCATTTCTTTGACATTTTTGGAAACAAAAGGAAACATTATGTAGGGCTTCCTTTTATGATGGATGGGCAGCTGATGACTGAAGAGCTGTTCACTGCCCTGTCCTGACACCGCCTTCCCCACTGGGTCTCTGGGGAAGTCACATGCTTTGTGGACCTTGAAAAGAATCTTCTGAGGCCTCAGCTTCTCTCCAAGAACCCACCTAGAACTGTGTTCAACTCTCTTCTACCACAATGAGCAACAAATTCCTGGGCACCTGGAAACTCGTCTCCAGTGAGCACTTTGATGAGTACATGAAAGCTCTGGGTAAGAAATGCCACTTGTCATGCTGGCTCTGAAAACCTTTTTTAAGAATTCCTTCTGACATCATTTATCAGTCTGGGAAAATTTTTTGCAGGATGAAATCCAATCCTCAGATTAATCTCTTGTCTTTCAAATAATTTATTTGCATTTTATTGGTGGCAATTGTAGTAGAATTTAAACAAAGCTATCTAAATGCATGAAACTCAGACTGATTCCAAAGGCAATTTCATACCAATAGGGGTTTCACTGGAAACCTGGAAGAAAGAAATGTAAGGAGCTTAGTCAAACCATTCTCTGTGTTTCCTAAAAGTTGATTTTTATAACAACTAAGGTGCTCATAAAATAAAAAGATGAATACTGGAAAATGTCATTTTAAAATTTTGATATTAGCCAAACTGAAATTTTTCTTTTTCTCCTAGGTTGTTCATTATTACATAATCATGTGTCTGTACAGAGTTTGGAAATGACAGTGTCTCCTACACTAAGATGTTCATAGTCCAGGGAAGTTGCTGAGAGAAAAAAGAACTGAGGTTGAGGGATGAATTCAAACTTGGTTTCACTAATGTCAGGCTTTCTTGCTACTGGAGCACTGAATGGAGATACCTGGAAGACTCAATCATTACTTATGACTTTATTTTTTACTTTTTCTAAAGAGAATATTCCATAGATATGAACACAGTAGATGTGAAGAGTTTTTGGAGATTTCCAGAGAACAATAACAGTGATGCCAATGGCTTTAGGGTGCCATGCTTATCAGAGTGCGTCTGGCTTCACTTACCTGTTCAGAAAGCTTGTAATTAACGTTTCTACTCCTAGGTGAAATGAACACAATCATGTCATTGCTGACTGAAAATCTATGAGGGCTCATGAGAATGGACCTATACTAGCAGGATAGATTTATGGCCTTCACTTTGTAGCTGAGAAGAAGGCAAAACACATGAAAGTCTTGCTGAGGGTCTAAGTTACAGAATGCACAAAGTTCCTGGGAGATTAGTAAATGTAGATTCTCAGGCATTAAACCAGAGATTATTATTTAGTTTGAAAAACTCTGTTCTAAATCATAGAAAATAATAATTGATTGATCAGAATTAGGGAAAAGTAAACAGGTTTTACCAACCCCCCAGGAGTAAACAGTTCACTTTATTGCCTGTGATTCTTCACTTCTTTTTGAGCATAGATACAGATATACCAGGGTTTTTTTCACTCTGGAAAGATAAGAGTTGGGACTTTCAATTGGACTCTCAGAAACTGGTTTTTCTTTCATGTATTTCTTATATGACATTTTACTTTTTCCAGGTGTTTCTATACTTTTGGTAAAATAGAAATAAAACATAAACCTAATTTTGTTTGTTTTTTCACATGTAAATAAGTTTTGAAAAAATATTTTTATTTATCTATCATCATTTGTACCAATGGTACAAATATAAAGGATAGATGGATTATGTTTTCCTACCAGCTAGACTTGATCACAAAATTTTAGTAATGACACTCTAACGAGGAAAATTCTTTCTATTCACAACACATTTTTGAAGGGGAAAATACCAGGCAACAGAATATGTCATAGTCTAATTAAAAATTTATCTATAATACATGTAGTTACAGACTCAAGTATCTTTAATGTTTCATACTAATCTACAATAACTGATTTTAGAGGAGAGTAGGATTAGATATGGTAAAAGTAGACATCTTCCACTCTTGCAACTGAACACTTCTACCTTCTGAAATCTTCAGACATTGCTTTTGTAGTAATAAAACCTAAAAGGTTCAAGTCCAAGACATGCATTCTCCTTGTGTAGTGAAATGGCGGAGTGTGTGTGTGTGTGTGGAGTGAGTCAGTGGCAGGACCAGCCACCTGCACGCTTATGCTTATGCTACCCCACTGAACCCCTTACTTGGCCACCATAGTGTTCCAGGTATGCTGTCTCTGTAGGCACAATTCTAACACTATCTTGGTTTACAGGAGTGGGGTTGGCCACCAGAAAACTGGGAAATTTGACCAAGCCTACAGTGATCATCAGCAAGAAAGGGGACTATCTAACTATACGAACTGAAAGTACCTTTAAAAGTACAGAAATCTCTTTCAAACTGGGCCAGGAATTTGAAGAAACCACAGCTGACAATAGGAAAACTAAGGTAATCTTTAATGTTTCTTTTTAAAGTTAGCCCAGTCAATTGCTTGAGAGAGTATTGGTAGTAGTGAAAAGGGTGGAAAATGAATATGCTGCACGAGATATCTATTACAAAAGTGGCTCAATGCTGAGTAAAATGCTTCTTTGACCAACCAAAGTCAAAGTAAGTCAAGAATATGAATTTGTCTTTCCAGACTCTGGTAACCCTGGAGAAAGGCTCACTGAATCAAGTGCAGAAATGGGACGGCAAAGAGACAATGATAAAGAGAAAGTTGGTGGATGGAAAAATGATAATGGTAAGAGTGTTTCCAAGTCTAACTTTAGAAATAATGCAATACAAATAGATTGATGTTATCATTGCGAAATGATCTTTGAAATACAAATGAATAAAAGTGGCTGAGAATAGTCGGAGTTAATATGCTTGATTGATCTTTAAGCCATAAAAGACTCATCTTCAAGTACTTCAAGTATAAGCAAGATATGAAAATAAGAAATGCATTGTTATTTTAGAAATAACAATACCAAAAAGGTAAAAGTAAAGTTAAAGAAAGCATGGCTAAATCTCACTAGCTTGAATTCCCAATGAAAAAGCAAGTCTAAATTTTAACAACTACAGAATATTTGCAGACACCTAGGCATATTGGTTTCAAGAATCTATGGTAAGCTACAGTAAACCATGTCAATAATACAAGCTGAGCTCCTGGGAGATCTCTCCTAGTTAACAGAGAAGAAGGATGACAGAGATTACATGAGATGACTTCTAACAATTTTTTAAGGTGAAGGCTCTGTGCTTACAAATTAATATATACATTGAATGTAAATAGACTTATGAAATGTTTTGAATGTTTTATTTCTTTAGTGCAGGGATTTTAGCCCTTGCTCCACTAGATTTACATGGGAACTAAATTCCCATATGGGGGCCCCAGCATGGTTCAGTTAATTAGGGGGGAGCATCAGTGTATTTAAGTGTTCCCCAAGTAACACCAATGTGCAAAGTTTTGAAAACTACTCTGTAGACTTAAACACATACAAATTATGGGTAAAAGAGTACTTTTTTTTTTACAGTCATCTTGGGGAATTGGTAGATATATATAATCTATCACATCATTTTGAGTCCTCCTTCCCCTTCTCCCTGCCCTTCCTCTCTCCCGCTTCCTCAGATCCCCTTCGTAGCTCTGAAAAGTCTCCTTGCTTTCTATCATCTCTTTTATTTTGCTCCTTATATTGTTTGTATGTTTGGTCCTTTATATAATACAAACAATATGATATTTAATCTTCTGATTCTAATTTATTTTACTTAACATTATGATCTCAGGATCCATCCATTTGCTTATAAAGGCCTCAAAATTTATCATTCTTTATGGCTGAGTAGTACTCCATTTTGTATATTAATTTTCTTTGTTCATTCATCTGTTGATGGGCATATAGACTTCTTTCATGTTTTTGCTATTGTGAATTGTGCTGCTATAAACATGGGTATGCATGTATCACTATAATATGATGACTTTAACTGTTTAGGGAAGATATCTAGAAGAAGTAGAGCTGGGTTAAGTGAAATTTTTAGTTTTAGTTTTTTGATGCATCTCTGTACTGCTTTCTGTGGTGATTGTACTAGTTCATATTCTTGCCAACAATGTAGGATTCTATTTTTCCCCACAACCTCACCAACATGTGTTGTTTTTTGAGTCCTTGGTGATAGTCATTCTTACAGGGGTAGTGAAACATCAGTGTTGTTCTAATTTTAATAGCCAAAGATGTTGAACACTTTTTCATGTACATACTAGTCATTTTTACTTCATCTTTTGAGGAGTTTGACATACTTTTTAAAATTCTTATCAAAAATATAGATCAGTTTTAAAGTCCTTTCTTCAATTTTGGTGATTCTGAATTGCTCGGAGATTGGCATTCTGATGTTTTATTCCAAAATCTAATTTTATGATTTTGGAATTTCTGTTTTTATTGCAAATTTGCTATTTTCTGGTAGTTAATTAATTGCTCTCTCTCTTTTAAGGAATGTATGATGAATGGCATCATCTGCACCAGAATTTATGAGAAGGTTTGAGAAAATCATTTCCTCACTGAAGTAACATTTGATCATTTAATATTGAAAAATCAATTGCTTCCACTGTCAAGCCCTGAATAGGTCAAAATTTGCTTATTTGTTTCTGCTTTTGTCTTCATTCATCAGATTATCAAAGGCTTAAACTGAGAATTAGTCTAAAATTCACAGCTACTTAAACATTTTCAATTTGTATAAGTGTATTAAAGCAAATGCATCAGCCAGACCAAATTGTTGATAATGTTATTAATTGTTCGTGAAATTCTGACCTGTGCTATACTCTGATTAATTTAGATAATAATAAAAAAGAAGTAATAGGACTATAAAAGGAAGTAAAAGTATCAATTAGAGATACCAAATTCAAATGTCTTTGGGGCCAGGAGGGTTATTAGGTAAGAGACTCAGAAATGAAGCAACCCAGGAGGAAACATTTTAAATTGTGGATTTCAGTCCCAGTTGAAATGGGCAGCCTCTACTCCAACCAATTATTTTTTAAATTGAGGAGTAATTTATAGACAGTGAAATGCAAAGATATTAAGAGCAGGGTTGAATGCATCGTGGCAAATGCATACGCCCAAATAAATCAGGATTGAGACACAAAATATTTCCTCTATCCCAGAAAGCTTCTGCATGTCTCTTCCTAGGCAATGTCCTATACCGTTCCATCCCACCAAAAGCAAGGACAGTAGTGATTTGATCCTAGCACTGTAGGTTAGATTTGCCTGTTCATGTTAATGGAATCATGTATTAGCCATTCGTTTCTGTTTGCTCTTTTAAACTCAGCATAATCTTTTTCAGATTCATTCATATAGTTGCAAGAAATTGCAGTTTGTTCCTTTCTATTGCCAAGTACTATTTCATTGTATAAATATGTCAGTTCATCAATCTTTCTGTTTCAACAATTCTGCTGTCACCAATTTTTGGTCACTATGGATAAAGCTGCTACATTCTTAAACAAAACTTTGTGGACATCTTCCTTTCTTTTGAGTCATAAAATTACTGAGGCTGACAATTTTTGATAGGCAAGAATGGGGAACCACTATGGCCAAAAGTGGAACTGTACAACATGACTGACTAAATTAGAAAGTGTATTGATATTGATGAAACCAGAATTTCAGTGTAGAAGAAACCAATATAAACATGGAATGGAAGATGATAAGAACATTGCAGGAATAGAATGGAATCAATGTAAAAATCATGATTTGTAAGCTACATGTAAATAGGTGTGATTGCACATGCATATCTGTATATGATGCATATATTTATGAGTATGTGTATATGTACACACGTGTATATTTCCTAGTTCTGACCACCAAATAGCTTAGAAAAAAATTCCCTAGAAGGAAAGAACACATCAGCGCTCAGATCTTGGTGTTTAATACCATTCCCCACTAAAAGGAACCAAAATTCCTTGGAGCAATAGCTGATTGATTCCAAAGCAGAGGCAGAGTAGGTACAGGACAAGCCTGAAGTATCTCATTATATCAGAAAATAAAGAAATGTTCAAAGGCAGGTTACCCGAAAGTGAAGGAATTGTTATTGGCCAAACTTGGGACAACTTGAGTAAAAAATAATCCAGAAAATTAGAAAACACTAGGAAAAAAATGGGGACTCACAAATCTATACTGACTAATAGACAGGCAAATGATAGGCAGATGACAGACAAGGAGGTGTGCTCTTTACAGTAGAATGCCATATACTAACTGGTAAACGTGGAAAGAGATCTTTCTGAAAGTAGTGAGAAAAACCACCATTTTTCAACCATCACAGTAAATATATTGGCTCAGGCAAAAATAACTAAAGGATGCTAAACTAAGGGAAATTTTGATGAGAAGTACAATGTTTATTTGAGCTCAAAATATCTTCTCACAGATTGTTTATATTGTTTCAGGGAGATAGTCTCACAGTGGAAAAATTGAGCAACCCCTTGTCTGGATTATCAAATTTAACCTCACCAATAAAAGATGGATAAACAACATGTGTCTCCTAAGTGATATTTAAAGAAGAGAGGAACATTACTTATATAGTATTCTGGACTGAAATCTATACATGAATCTAATTATAAGGAAACATCAGACAAATTTCAATGAGGAATGTTCTATTAAAAGAAAGGAGGGGGTGCTGACCGAATCCTTAAAAAATGCCAATGTCAAGACAAAGAATGGTTGTGGAAATGTTCCAGATTAAATTACACTAAAATCACATGATGATTTAATGCAGTAAATAACTCTAGACTGAATCTTTTACTAGAGGTGAAGGAAATGCTTCAAAGGACAACATTTAGTCAATTGGAAAAATGGATAGTAGATAGGAGATTAGATTAAAAATGCATTGTGGGGACTGGGGATTTAGCTCAGTGGTGCTGTCACCTGCCTCACAAATACAAGGTCCGGAGTTTGATCCCCGTACCAAAAAAAAAAAAGCATTGTGATTAAATAAAAGACTATCCCTGATCTTGAAAAATACATACTGGCATATTTCGAGGCAATCAGCCATAATGTATGCAATTTACTCTCAAAGTATTTCAGAACAATACATGTTTGTTTCTGTATGTTCAAAGAGTAATTGATAAAGTAAATGCGATAAAATTGAACAACAGAGGAGTCTGAGCAAAAGATATATATGTTTGCTTTGAACTAGTCTGATTCTTCTTACAACTGTCCTGTAAATTTGAAATTATTTCCAAATAAATATTTTTTAAAATGCTGCGTTGGGCAAGCCTTTCTCTGCTTTTCAGTTTTAAGTTATCTGAGAGGCATCAATAATTTAGGCATTTTGTTGTTGTTGTTGTTGTTCTGTTTTGTTTTCATGACCTGCCAGATAAACCCATAAAAAGGAGAGTTTTAAAACTGCATTACTATTTCTTAAAGTTGGTGATATGACTTACTATAAAATGTAACTTCAATAAATATAATTGCTCTATTTTACAAAAATCCTGGGTACTTTTTACTTTCATAACAGGAAAAGTGTAACTACACTGATAATGAAGGCAATGAAATAATCATTTCAGCAAGTGGCACATGTTGCAAGATTAGAAAGAGAAATCCAAGAAAATTCTAACAACAGGAAATGAGGGTGAGGGGGAAACTTGATGTCTTAGTTCATTTCAGCTGCTATAAAAAAAAAACCTCTGAGCACTGATGACTTTACACAACAGAAACATATTTCCCTGTTCTGGGGGGTGAAAAGTCTAAGGTCAAGGTGCTGGCAGATTTAGTGTCTGATAAGGATTTAGTTCCTCACTCTTAGATGGTGCCCTTTGGCTTCATTCTTGAGAGGTAAAAAGGGAAAATGAACTCCCATAAGGCTCCCTTATAAGAGTACTAATTCCATTCATGGAGGATCCTAACCATTCACGAGGGTCAGCCTTCACAGCCAATTTTCCACCTGACCCCATTCACCTCGTGAGTTAGAATTTCAACATGTGAGTTTTGGGAAGATACTGATATGATTTGAATCTTAAATGACACCCAAAGGCCTTGGTCCCCAGCTTGAAGCACTATTGAGAAATGATGGTTCCTCTAGGAGGTAGGACCTAGTGGAAGGAAGTTAGGTAACTGGGGGCATGTCCTCAAAGGGAATATTGGGACCTTTCCTGTCTGTCTCATTTTGCTTCTTGGCCATCATGAGGGGAACAGATTTCCTCTACCATGACATTCTGCCTAACTACAGGCCCAAAGCAAAAGGACCTAATGTCCATGGAGAAAGTACTAAAACCATGAGCCAAAATAAATCTTTCCTCCCTTCAACTAGTGACATCATGGGTGGGTAACAGATTTCCTTATATACTTTTCTAATGAAAATATATATTTAACATAATGGTAGCCAGCTGTGCATCTCAGTAGCTACACTGGGGGAATACAGGAAACAATCTTTGTGTTCACTCACTTGGTATGATGGACGAATTGCAAGGTGCTTGCATTTGTGTCAAAATGTCAACAGGTGAGTTTTATCCACATTATGTGTTATGTTACATTTTTGTGTATTTATAATGTGTTTCATTAAATGTTTTCTTTCAATTTTTCTTATAGAATTAACCCAATTCAGTAAAATGTTGCATGAAAATCCACTTTTATAATTTTGGCTGGAGGTTGAAAATGAGTCATCAGGTGACTCAGCTACTAATGATGGTTTGGATCATGTAAGAGTTGTAACAGTGAGATGGAGCAAGATATTACAAATGGAGAAGTACAGAATGAAAACCTTGACTCAGATGAGGAAGAAAACAATAATGTAAATAAATATTTAACTAGTCAAATGCTACAAAATGGTCATGTATACCAGAATGATCCAACATTAGAATTAGGTCAGAAAATGTTATTAGATTCTTGCCAGGGTGAAAGCTATTGGATGGAAGCCAACACTGTGATTCAGTGTTGGAAACGGTTTCTAAGGACGATACGCTACAAGATATTTTGAAATACACTAATAATGAAATACAAGTAAAACATTCTATGTGCATCAACAGTAATACTCAAAAATATATCATGACACCTCACAATCTGAACTAAAAACCTTTATCATCAATCTAACTAAAAGGACTTTATCATTCTAATAATCAGAAACTAAAGGATTTATGGATAAGTCACAGATGTGGTGTTGAGATTTTTAGAACAATAATGAAATTCAAGAGATTTGGTTTCCTTCAAAGTTGCCTACGTTTTGATGACAAAAAGACCTGCCAAGAAAGAAAAAAATCTGACAATTTTGCTGTTGTTCATTCTTTTTGAAAAGCTTTGTTTTAAACTGTCAAGCAATTTATACACTGTCTGAATACATGACAACTGATGAACAACTTGCATCATTTCATGGTTGTTGAAGCTTTTGGCAATATATGCCAAGTAAACCTTCCAAATATGGCATAAAAATATACACCCAGGTATGTGCTAAGACATTTTACATCTTGAATTTAGAAGTTTAACCTCGAACTCAGCCACTAGGTCTTTATTTGTGCAGTAATAAACCCTATGACACTGTGAACAGACATGTTGCACTTATTTCAAAAAGAAACCCAAATATCACATGTGACAATTGGCTCACTAGTTACCCATTAATGTTACATTTGCTGAAAAAAATACCAAGCACAAGAACTATTTGCAAGAACAAAACAGAGATTCCTAAAAAAATGTTGCAAGTTCACAATAAAGAAATGTATAGTACAATCTTTGTTTATCAGAAAGATATAACACTGGCCTCCTATATGGTGAAGAAAAACACAATAGTATTGATATTGTCAACATTACACCATGATGATAAGATTGATAGTGAAGCCAAGCTTGGTGGTGCATGCCTGTAAACCCCCACCAGGTGGCTGAGGCAGGAGTATCTTGTGAGTTCAAGGTCAGCTTGTGCTATATAAAGAGCTCAAGACTAGCTTGGACTACATAGCAAGACCCCATCTCAAACAAAATAAAGCAAAACAAAACAAAACAAAATGATTGATAGTGAATCCTCAACACAAGTAATGCCAGAAATGGTCACATTTTACAACAAAACAAAAGGCAGAGAAGATGTTGTTGATGGATTATGCAGCAACTATGATGTCACTCAAAACACACAGTATTGGCCAATGGTTGTGTTTTACTCAATACTAACCATGTCAGGCATAAATAGTTTCATGGTTTTCAAAGAAAATAATAAACACAAAATATCATGAAGAAATTTTCTTAGGGGATTGGGACTGCAACTGATAAATGATCAATTACAACGGGGGAAGAACAATATGTATCTGCCCAAAGAACACTGCAAAAGAATTCTGGAGCTCAGTGGTGAACAGAGGGGTGAAACATCACAAGAACCTCCTAAGACAACAGGAAGAGCAGCAAGATGTCAAGTGTGTCCTGCCAAAGGACACGTGTGCTGTCAGTGTATTTGATATTTTATTTCATTTTCCTGCTAAGTGCACATTGTATAATATAAAAGGAACCTCCTGACAAAACAGGAAGACAAGGGAAGTGACA